CATACAATTTAAACCATAATTATTGCAGGGGGCATAATGCATAATTAACCATAATTATGCAGCATAACACATAATTAACCATAATTATGCAGCATAATGCATAATTAACCATAATTATGCAGCATAACACATAATTAACCATAATTATGCAGCATAATGCATAATTAACCAGCAGAAACCTCCGGATGCAACCGGCAATCACACAACAACGACCCTACGGCAACAATCAAGCTCTAGCAAGGCAAGGCAATCTCCCAGCCACGCAGCAAGGCCGGGTCGATCAAGCACTATAAGTGTTATCCGACACACGCAAGCAAGCCTGCCAGGAGGCAGCACCGTACAGCATAGACCACCGCCGGCAGCGAGATAGAAGCAAGCAGAGAGCACCAGGGGGCGCCGGCGGCGGAGGCGTGAGAAGGGGTTACCTAGTGGCGCCGCCTCGTTCGCGTCCTTCGCTCGCCGTCTCGTGCGAGATTTGTCGACGGACTTGGAATTTCTTGTCTTACATCCCGTAATCTTAATCTTACCACCTGCGTGCGTGCGCATAAGTACAAACACAGGATGCCGTGCGCACGGTGACTTACACACCACGGAAAAAAGAACCCCCCGCCCCCCCCCCCGGGACACACACAGCGCACGCATGACAACGGCCGCACAGCTAACACGCACACACGCACGCACAGCGACGCTGTCGCACGCTACGCGACGCAGCCACGACTCCAGCGCGACTGTGATTGCCGGTTGCATCCGGAGGTTTCTGCTGGTTAATTATGCGTTATGCTGCATAATTATGGTTAATTATGCATTATTCTGCCGTGACTTCTGCCTCTCTCTCTAAACTGGCGCTTCTAGTGCGTTCTGTGAATGTTTCTTTTGTTGTTGTCATAGTTGTTGTTTTTGTTGTTGTTGTCGTTGTTGTTGTTGTTGTTGTTGTTGTCGTTGTTGTCGTTGTTGATATGCAAGTCTTCTATGCTAAGTAATCTTCAACCGTGTAATATTTTTATCGATTTATTACTTATACTTTCTACTATTACTATCTATTACGTGTTTATTAAGTAATCTTTATCTTATCGTAACGCAAAGCTTTCGCATTCTCTGCTTCATCCCTCACAGTATAAGCATTATATAACAGTATAACATTAACATGCGGTAACACATGTTTAGAGGAAGGCTGCAACGTGATTAGTCATTGTTATTAATGATGAACTTATTAAACTCATCAGTTTAAGTAACCAAGATTAAAATCGGTTTCCCTCGAATTTATTAATCAATCGAATAATTCCCTCGATGAAACGGATCTGATGTGATCGGAAATATTGCAGTATGTATATAACAAGTATGTAGACCTGCTGTAAATATTGCAGTATGTATATAACAAGTATGTAGACCTGCTGTAAATGAAAAGATAATGCAAACGTAAAGATTCTCTGAATATTCACCGGGTTCCGCGTTATGTTCTCTGATAGCGGCGATGTGTCTGTCGTGTGTGTATACTCCCTATGGCCACCATCGAATTGCCTCACTGTGTGCTCATTGCTTGTGTTTCGTCCCTGTAGATGGCAGCATCGGCAGCGCGCGTCTGCCCAACAGTGACTCATCGCTCGACAGCCTCCACAGTGAGCCGAGTACGGAGAGCACGAACAGTGGCGCCCTCGAACAGGCGTCGCTGCAAACGTTCCAGCCGACGAAGAGAGAGATCTATGGTGAGCGAGAGCGAGAGAGAGAGAGAGAGAAAAGGGGGGGAGAGAGAGAGAGAGTCAGAGAGAGAGAGAGAGAGAGAGAGAGAGAGAGAGA